AGAGCTGTGATGTTTGTCAGGGTGATTTTAGTGACAGGGCTTGTCTAAATTTAAACATGACATTGTCACCGCTGTAGTTGTGCTGCTGTAGTGCTTCAATGTAGACACTACCTGTGCCAACATGAGAGGTTCTCCCATGGGCATAGGTAATGCATCCCTCCCTGAGAGACAGTGAATCAAACTGTTGTATTGTGGACCACTTTAACATTAATCTGTGTTCTCCAGAGCTGCTGCAGTGCTTCATGGAAGTTGTAGTTCAGGTGCCTGATGCTGCCATTCTCTTCTGTGGGCCAGGCTCCCTGGCTGGACCGCATCTCCCATGATGCACCACAGTCTCCCCTCTGGTAGAACCACTGGAGTGCATCATGTCTGCATGTCAATTTTCATGATGCATTGCAGTCATGAAACATGTAGGCCAGCCAGGAATCCTGTCACATAGAGGAGAATGGGTTATGCTACGTGGGGGTGAACTACAACTCATCTGAAGTACCACAGCAGCTCTCAAGCAGACACAGTTCAATATGGAAGCAAGCTGAAAGGAAACATTTCCATTTGGTTCAACAAACCAAACCAAAACATGTTGATTCAGAACTGTCAGAATGTTTCAGTGAAAAATATAAAAAAGAAATGTTTAGAATTTCGGAACTGAAATTTTTCTGAACTTTTTGTTCTGCAAAAAATTTCAATATTTCTGCTTTTTGTTCCAGTTCGGGACAAATATCAAACAAATATCAAAAGATCATGATTTCCTGCGGGGTGGAATTTTTGTTTTTCGATCAGCCCTAATCTCAATATTGTAGCCAGCAGTTAAAGCCGAGGCTCTCAACCGGAGCATGCATACCCCTGGGGGTACGCAGAGGTCTTCCAGGGGGTACATCAACTCATCTGGATATTTGCTTAGTTTTACAACAGGCTACATAAAAAGCACTACCAAACTCAATAAAAACTAAAATTTCATACAGACTATGATTTGTTTATACTGCTCTATATACTATACACTGAAAAGTAAGTACAATATTTACCTTCCAGTTGATGTATTTTATAATTATGTGGTAAAAATGAGAAAGTAAGCAATTTTTCAGGAATAGTGTGCTGTGACACTTTTGTATTTTTAGGTCTTATTTTGTAAGCAAGTAGTTTTTAAGTGAGCTGAAACATAGGGATACAGAAGACAAATCAGACTCCTGAAAGGGGTACAGTAGTCTGGAAAGGTTGAAGCCACTGTGTTAGAGTAAGCGGAAAGCAGATGCCAATTATGGTTTAACATCAGTCCTGACAGACTGCTAGCATTCCCCCGCCTAACCAGTGTACTGTAGCAGAAACTTTCCTGTTCGCAAGTGTTGCATTGAGTTCTGAAAGTGATAAGGGACTTAATCATTACTTTCTTCTATGGCCATGAGTTCCATAGTGCGGGGCCAGCTTCTGGGGATGTTCTGGGGAAAGGTGTGACAGAGTGGGATATGTCTGTACCCAACTGTGAACTCCATTTTGTGTTTCAACCTCCATCTTGGATTGTAACCTTCATTGTGACCTTCACTTGATAGTAGAACCTCCAGTTTGGATTAGAACATCCATTTTGTATTAGGGTTTGACACCTAGTTGAATGACAATGGCTTTATCTACACTTGAAACTTATGCTAGCAAAGCTATGTCAGCGGTGTGAAAAAAACACACACCCTAGCTGACATAGCTAGGCTGACAAAACTGCCAGTATAGACAAAGCAGTGCTATCAGAAGAGGGCTTCTGTCAATATAGCTAACATCATTCAGGGAGATACTGTTCCTACACTGGCAGAAAATCTCCTTCTGTCAGCATATGCGGCAGCTATACTAGGGGCTGGCATAGGCTGTGTAATGTAGACATAGTCTATGGCTGAGAAGCCACCATAGAGCAATCATGGGCCATCGACTTTGGTTGTCTCTCAACTACTGGCCCACTGCAAGGGGATAGTGGACTCTCCACAGAAACCTGACTGGGGGCAAGAGGCTGGAATTTCCCAGTTGGAGCACATGGTCAAAAAGAGACAGAGGCTGTATTTAAGAGGGGAGGGCTTCTCTGAGCAAGGGGACCAACCACCACCACATGTCAGAAGCCTCTAGGCTAGAGAGCGAGGACAAGGCAGGAGGGTCTGCCTAGCCTGAAACATTGACCAGACCCTGGATTTGTGGGGTGAGATCAGAGTAAGAGAGTGAAGTGGAAGCATTGCAGGACTGTTTGTTATTTTGCAAAGATCTATAACTCTCCAGTGCTCTCAAGAGTAAAAGTGGCTGTGGTTAAGAAATGCCTTGGCTAAACCTGTAAGGGGCTTAACTGAGCAGCTCGGTGCCCACACCTAGATGAGGCTCTGAGGGCACATGTCAGGCCTGGCCGACACCTAAAAATTAGGTTGACATAGCAACATCACTCAGGGCTGTGAAAAATGTTGTGCCCTGTGCAACATAGCCTGGTCAACTTAACCCCTCTGTAAGGCAGCTAGACAGGAGACTTATTCGTCGCCCTAGCTACTGCCTTTTGGAGAGGCTGATTACCTACTTTGATGGGGACAGTCTTTCAGTCGATGTAGGAAGCAACTACGCTATGGCAGTACAGTGGCAAAGCTGCAGTGCCACAGCTGTGCCACTCCAGTGCAGACGCACTCTAAGCAACTAAGGGCTTGGCCTGGTTTGGGGTTTAAGACAGCTCCCTGCAGAGCCCCACATCCCTTGGAAGGATGGCAGACACGCAGCTGGGAACGGTGATTAGTCACTACCCAGACCCGGGGGTATAGAAGCCTGTGGGATCCAGCGGTTGGGTCCGTTCACAACAGACTGGTGTCAGTCCAGAAGGAGGGATTGGTCCAGGTTGTGATAAAAAGCTCAGGTGATTTTTTTTTCTCCTGTTTTATGATCTTATCAAAGGGTCTAATTCAGCCCCCATTGATGTGATTGGAAAGACTGCTTTTGACTTTGACGGGCTTAGGATCAGGCTGTAAAGTTTTCAGATTTGTGACAAACTCTTCGCAATTCTCTTGGCTGAGGTACCCTTTCCCCCAGACACAGGGATGAACCATGTCTCGATTCTCTCTTTATTCCAGCAGGTGATGGGATCATGAGTGAAAACGAGGAGGAGAATCCACCTCTTCAGACAGAGGAACTAAGTGTAGCATTGTCAGAAAAATCCAAAGGGAAAGATTCACAGAGCCCTGACTGGGAAGATGACTGTGAGGATGAGTGGGGGACAGAAAATCAGGAGAGAAATCTTCCAGGAAAGAAATGGGGTGAATCTCCTCCCCGAGAAAGAGGTTTCAGGAAACTCAAAGACATCATTGCCCAGCAGAAGCCTCACACTGGAGAGAAACCTCATAAATGTCCTGACTGTGGGAAGAGCTTTAGTCGGAGATCAAACCTCATTCAGCACCAGAGGACCCACACAGGCCAGAGACCTTATGAGTGCCCTGAGTGTGGGAAAACCTTCAGCCTGCGCTCGACACTTACAAGACATCAGCGAACCCACCTGCAGGAGAAGCCCTATAAATGCACAGAGTGCGGGAAGAGCTTCCGCCAGAGCTCAGACCTGATTGCCCACCAGCGAGTGCACACAGGAGAGACACCGTACCAGTGTGCTGTGTGCGGGAAGAGCTTTGGGCGGAGCTCCAACCTGAGCCAGCACCAGACCACGCACATGGGGGAGAGACCCTATCAATGTGCTGACTGCCTGAAGAGCTTCCGGAGCAGTTCGGCCCTGGTGCAGCACCAGAGGAGCCACACGGGAGAGAAACCCTATCAGTGCTTGGAATGCAGGAGCCGCTTCCTGCAGAGCTCGGACCTGATCAAACACCAGAGGATCCACACCGGGGAGAGGCCCTACCAGTGCCCCGCCTGTGGGAAATGCTTCAGCCAGAGCTCCTCACTCACTGAGCACCAGAGGACCCACACCGGCGAGCGACCCTACCATTGCACTGAGTGCGGGAAACGTTTCTGCCAGAGCTCCACACTCATCCAGCACCAGAGGATCCACACGGGGGAGAAGCCCTACAGATGCACTGAGTGTGGGAAGAGCTTCTGCCGGAGCTCCAATCTGAATCAGCACCTGACAATCCACATGATAAAGAAACCTCATCGGTGCACTGACTGTGGGAGGGGCTTCAGTCAGCTCACTAACCTTATTATACACCAGAGAATCCACTCTGGAGAGACACCCTAGGACAGTGGTTCTCAAACTTTTGTATTGGTGACCCCTTTCACACAGCAAGCATCTGAGTGTGAACCCCCCACCCCCCATAAATTAAAAACATTTAAAAATATTTAATGCTATTATAAATGTTGGAGGTGAAGTAGGGTTTGGGGGTGGAGGGTGACAGCTCATGACCCCCCCCCATGTAATAATCACGACCCCCAGTTTGAGAATCCCTGCCCCTAGGAGCTGTGGGGACAGCTTCACGGACCTACCAGCACCAGAAAATACACTCCACACAGAAAGCTTTGCTGGCTGTCTCCCTCCTGGATAGTGGCCTACTCCAGGAGGTTCAATTCAGGGTGGGATTAGGGATATCTTCCTCCACCTTTAAGAGATTTATCAACTAGACAGTGTTGCAGAGAAGGATCTGTTCTGTTTTGTTGCTTTTGCTCCACCTACTGCAGAGTGAAACCGATCAGGATCATGCCAGTTTCATTCTGCTGCTGGGGAAGCCCTTTGTTGTACAGTTGGGATCTGAAGAGAGGGGTAGGTGGAGGAAAATGACAGGGAGGGTCAGAGCCACACAGAAGCAAGTGCTCAGGACTGTTTCCAGAGACTATCTTTATCTACAGTTCCCATGTAATATATAATATACCTTCTAGGGCAGATGTTGATAGATACACGCAGCCAGGGTATATTGGCTTCACATGTGCAGAACTACTACAAAACAGTGACTTACTGTAGCTTTCTCACGCACTATGGAGTGGACATCAACACACCAAGATGGTCAAACTGGGTTGGGAGAACACAGTATCTAGTGCTTGGATCCTGGGGAGAAGACAAACACTGCAGTGTTCACATGAAGTACAGGCCACTAGTGAGGTAATGGGATTGTGTGAAGTCCATAAACTGGGGCCATTGTCAGGTATCTAATTCTATACTAGACATGCGTTCCATGAAGAGGCCAGAAAGTCCTCAGGTACTCAGCAGAATATGAGGAGCTGTTGTGGCCACTGCATGCGATCCCAACTCTAAATACAGTCTTCCCCCTCCCACACCCAGTCTTCCTGATAGTAACAAATAT